TTGCTCTAGAGTCTAGGCCTTTTCGATGGTGATTGTTGTGGGCTAGTGTCATCGCTATCGCTGTTATAGCCCACAACAATCACCATAGAAAAGGCCTAGACTCTAGAGCAATGTTTATGAACATATAAACTTTGTTCTTCTTTAAACTAAGTTTGTCCTTAATTTTTGTTAATTTTCATAAAATCAATACTCTTCGGGCAGAAGACTCACGTCTATAGCCCTTTTGGACTTATCTTATATTTGTTCTATATATGTATTTTTTTGTTATTTATTCGTATTTGTTATAGTTATTGTTTTTATGCAGCAAGAAATATGTTCGACCGATAACCGTGGGAGGCAAATTTAAAACGATCTATTCGGGGTGAACGGTCAAATAAAGTACAGGAACAACTTTTTACAATTTGCTAATATATTTCGGTTGTCGAATTACAACCTTCATCAGAGCGAATTTACATTTGCTGTTAAAGAGAAAAAATTTCTTAAAATGATAGAAATTTTACAAAATAGGTTTAAAAACTTACTTGTTTATGAAGTTGGTAAACTAAAAACGTTATTGAATACATTGCTATTGAAATTATTGAGTTTAATTAGGTTAAAATATGGAACCAAATGTTAATTTGGTTTCATATATAAAAACAGAAAAACGAAATGTCTAGGGAGCTAGCCTGTTCTTGTTCTTATCGTTAGAAATGATGTAAGCATAAATGTTGCTTAAGGATTTTTTTTTCGGTTTGAAGTTTATTGAGTCATCAGTGTAGTTAATGTAAAGAACTTCTAAAAGGTTTCTGTTATGATAGTTCTTTTCAATGTCTAAAACTTTGACATTATCAAAATCAAATTTATGTCCTGTGTCTGTGGTATGTTGTGATAGAGCACAGGAGGATTTTAATAACCTACAATCGCTCTTGTGTTTTGAAATCCTACTTTTTAGCCACTGGTTGGTTTGTTCAATGTATTTGCCATTGCATTCGCCACACGAAATGCAATAGATGACCCCTGATTTTAATAGTGGACCAGTGCTGTCCTTGACTCTAGTGAAATATTTCTGCAATTTGTTATCATAGCAATCCACCACTTTGATGTTGTCAATATTCTTGAAGATTTTTTTAATTTTTCCCGTAAGTTCATTCACATAAGGAATTTTACGATATTTAACAATCTGTTCAGTTGTGTTTGTTGTTGTATTTAAGATGTTGGTAGAGAATAACAATTTATTAATAAGTTTTGGGGGGTACCCATTATTAACAAAAGCATTACTTAAAAGCCTCAAATTTTCATCAAGGAACTTCCGATCACTAATGTGCGTTATTCTGTGTTTCATTGTCAATACTGTTGCTATCTTGTGGCCAAAAGTGTGGTTTGAATGAAAGTTTAAATATCTACCAGAATAAGTAGGCTTAATATACCAATCAAAAACGATCGAGTTATCCACGTTTCTGATGACTTTAGTGTCAAGAAAGGGTATTGTTAAGATTGTTAGGGATTGTTAAATATCGTAAAATCCTCCTGTGCTCTATCACAACATACCACAGACACAGGACATAAATTTGATTTTGATAATGTCAAAGTTTTAGACATTGAAAAGAACTATCATAACAGAAACCTTTTAGAAGTTCTTTACATTAACTACACTGATGACTCAATAAACTTCAAAACGGATACACAATCCTTAAGCAACATTTATGCTTACATCATTTCTAACGATAAGAACAAGAACAAGCTAGCTCCCTAGACATTTCGTTTTTCTGTTTTTATATATGACTTTTCCTATATTGATAATTAACATTTCATCAATGTTTAAAGTTTTATAAATTTGTTATTATTAATTTAAACAACTAAAATTAGTTCTAGGTTGTGAATTTGTATCGCTGAGGTTACTCTAAATTTTTGTTTTGTATACTTTTATCATCATGATTAAATTTTTAAATTTATATTTCAATAACGGTGTCCTCTTTACATTTTAACGCATGCGCTGTGCGCATTGTTCCAATTTGTTTCAAATAAAACTAGAATTTCAGAATCAAAACAAGAAAGAAAAATTTTAACGTTGTAGCGTGTTTGTATTAACATTTGGTTCCATATTTTAACCTAATTAAACTCAATAATTTCAATAGCAATGTATCAATAACGTTTTTAGTTTACCAACTTCATAAACAAGTAAGTTTTTAAACCTATTTTGTAAAATTTCTATCATTTTAAGAAATTTTTTCTCTTTAACAGCAAATGTAAATTCGCTCTGATGAAGGTTGTAATTCGACCGAAATATATTAGCAAATTGTAAAAAGTTGTTCCTGTACTTTATTTGACCGTTCACCCCGAATAGATCGTTTTAAATTGTTTTTATCTACGACTGCTTGGATAAGTCATCATTACCGCACTCATTTGAGGTCATTTGAGTTACGTAATGAAGTTCATTACCGCACTGGTTTCATTACGTAACGCATTTTTAGCCTAATCAGAANACCATCAAACAGACAGCAAAAATATCCTACTCCTTCATAACTACCCTAAATCCAAAAAATTGGATCTTTTAGAAGAAATGGAAATTATTAAATTGAAAAATGACGCAAACTATATTACTCTAAATGAAATTACCGACGTCCCTCACACACGAATGTTTCTGAATTTCGTAAAAAGACCAGTTTCTCCATGACTTCATATTCAATACGTACAATTGTTACAGATACCGGTTGTTAGTAACCTTTCATATCGACCCGACCACATTTCTCTTGTATTGTGTGTAGTGTTTTTTATCGTTATTTGATCTTAATTGTTAACATATACTGGGATAGATATGTGTTTGTATATATACGTATGTATATGTGTGTATAATCTTAAAATAAATGAAGCGTTTTTTAATTCTGTCCATCGTTCGTTTTAGACGGTAAGAATTTTAACTGTTATGTTTCTTGACGTCATATTGTATTTCGATTTTCTGTTTTTAGTTGCGCCTGAAGACGAAAAGTAATATTTTTTGAAACCGGTTGCGCAGATAAGCAAATTAATTAATAAACACTAATTCTTCACACATTTTTTGTGCGTTTTGTATGTCTTTTAAGAACTTTTCATTGTCAATGTCTTCGTTTGTTTTCATAAGAGCATTAAGATGAATTTTATTATCTAATGTTTGTTGAAATAGATACCAATTAGTGAGTTTATTAGTTAGTGATAAAAGGGTTCTTTGTTACATACTTTGTTATTTAGAGTAATAATTACTGGTGAGTGATCTGAGTCCAGCCCTAACTCTTCTTCTACGTTTACGAAGTTAAGCGATATATTTTTCATAATAAAAAAATCAAGCAGGTCCGGAATTTTACTTCTATCTCTTGGTCAGGAAGTTGGCTTCCCAGTGGAGAGCACCTCACAATTGAAGGCCTCTATTGCATGGTTCAGTTCTCTTTCATTTGTATTTGTCAAGCGAGAACCCCAAGACATATGTTTTGCATTAAAGTCTCCTCTAAGAATAAATTTGTTGTCAAGATGTAGTAAAATTTCCTGATAATCTTCTCTTTTGAGATTATGTCTCGGTAGTATGTACGTTGCTCCTATAGATATTAACCCATTAGCAGTTTGAACGTTTACCGCTGTAGTTTGGTGTTGTTCAGTACTAATTGTATTGTTCAAATAGTGGTCAAGATTCCTTTTAATAATAATTGCACTTTCACCTCGAGCCGCATTACTCGGGTGAATTGTGTGATAAATATTCTAATGGTTGATGTTTATATTCGTGTAAAGTGAGTTTCGGAGATAAGACATAATATCAATATTGTTTTCTTTAAGTATTATTGGTAGTGTGTTTTGATACTGTCGAAGACCATTGGTTGCTGCTTTTTAGACATTTTGATTTCTTTTTTGAATCGCTCCTTGGTTTAAATTGCTTTCAATGAAATCTAGACGTTCCTATATTGTTTTTATTGTTTCTTCTTGTTGAAGTATTTTTTCTAGTATTATATCTAATTTACTGTCAGCCTTCTTATCGATTAACGTACTTACAGTTTTCTCTGCAGTTTCACCATTCGCTTTTCGGCATACGAGACGCCTGGCTTTATTTTATTTGAATTTACTGTTTTCTTATTCCTGATGGCTTGTAGTTCTTTAATCACAATGCATTCTCGGTAGTTCGCTGGATGATTTTCTCCACAGTTGAAACATTTAGCCGGGATTTCTTTGGCTTTAGTGCATTCGCTGGTCTAGTGTTCACCAGCATATTTAACACATCTCGGATTTTTGTGGCGGTAAGCTTTGATGTGGCTCCAACCTTGACACCTTTTTCACTGGGGTATTTGTTTTGGCTTTCTGTACTCTTCGATTTTGACACGCATTCCTAATATGTTTGTTATTTCATGGGTTGTTTTTACATCCTCTGACGGCGCAAAACCCAAGATGTATAAAGGAAGAGGCTCTATTGTTTTGTATTTTAACATTTGGGTTACTTTACAAATGTTATACTTGCGCTCCAATAGATCATCTTTGATATCATTAACATTACAGCTTTTATGCATCTTTAGCGACCACTTTCAGATTTCTGGTTTGCTTATTTTCATAAGTTGACCAGGACAAATTCTTTTCAGCAAGCATCTTTGATATAACTCTTAAACTTTTCCATGTTATTGACCCACCTAATTGTTTAATTTATTTCACACATCACACACATTATTGCACATTCCGATTTACTTACTTCGTAATAACAGCAATTACGAATTGCTGAATTGTTATTTATTGTTATAAATCGCGTGTATGATTTATATTATTAATATGTTTATATTATCAATAACAAAAATATTGTACTGTTCACACTATTTTATATTATTTATATCATCTATAAACGATATAAAGCGTAAAATAAAACACTTGACGCACGATCGCAAAACACATCCGCTCTTTAGCGATGCACAAATCGAACTGAAATTACTCATGAAACAAAAATCTCATGAGTTTTTAGTCTCCTTGTGGACACCTAGCTTTCTGCAACCAAGAGAGTAATTTTATTAAATTTGTAGGTTCTTCGAGTTGTTCGATTAATTAAAGCATCACCACTTCTAGAAGACTTTGTTTACAAAATTTTTGGACCAGGAAAGAAATTGGGGAGCTTAATTATATTCACAATGTGTTTGTTAATAATTTCTTCGAGTATTTCAATGCAATTATTTTGCTTCCTTTGTGAATTTACTAAATTTGAGAGTTTTACCGAAGCATTTATGTCGATGTTCCAAATTTTAACACAAGAAGCTTGGGTTGAGGTTATGGATGAAACAATGGTCAGAACAAACACGGCTTTAGCACCATTAGTAGCCATGTATTTTATTTTATACCATCTCTTCGTAACTTTGGTATTAAAAGGAATAATTCATTTTTCTTAATTAATTAATTTACTTTTTTTAGATTGTGCTAAGTTTATTCGTCGCAGTTATTTTAGATAATTTAGAATTAGACGAGGATATAAAAAAATTGAAACAATTAAAATATCGCGAGCAAAGTGCTGAAATTAAGGAAACATTACCGTTTCGTTTAAGGATATTTGAAAAATTTCCCGATAGCCCTTTAATGGTTACTTTACATAAAGTTCCATCCGATTTTAATTTACCCAAAGTAAATAATTAAATAGATTTTATTTAGTTAGTTCCTTTTTTATCATTTTTTATTCATTTTAGGTTCGAGAAAGTTTTATGAGGCAATTCGTTTGTGAAACGGAGGATGATGAGAACTCGGAAGGAAGCGTAAAAAAGATTTCAGAAGAAATTTTTGATACTAAAGTAATGTACAGGAAACAAAAACCGTTAAAAATATTAAATAATGTTCCAAAGGTACGAGTTGGACATCCCAAGCTAAAGAAAACAGCAATCGCCCATATCATAAAGTATATTTTAACTTAAATATAACCTTAAATTTTAATAATTGATTTTTAGCGATTCAAATAATCAACGTTTAATGCTTGGTGATTCATCGATAATTCCCGTACCGGGTAGTAAAGCACCTTTAAAGCCCCAAGGAACGATAAACAGCATGAAACAGTTACGTATTAACAACAAGAAGTGAGTTCTTTCAACACAAAATCGATTGGCTATAACAAAATCCACTTTTTATTTATTATATAGATGTATTCTAATTTTCTTTTTAAGACACTTCTAAATTTCCAAAAACACCTATTATTAATTTTATTTATTTATTATTTTCACTTTTTTGTAGTAAGTTTAACTCTTTTCTTTTTTAATTAAATTAGAGAAAAGAGATTTTTTGTTTATAACCTAACTCAAACAAATTGTTTAATTTTTTATCAAAAAAAAAAAAAAAAAAAAAATAGGTTCGGTTCAAGATCGATTCGAAGAAGTGTTCGAAGTGGCTCGATTAAATTAAAACAAACCTACGAACATTTAATGGAAAACGGTGATATTGGAGTTAATCGTGTTACCTCAGCGAGGGCTAGGCCCCACGATTTAGACATAAAATTGCTTCAAGCGAAGCGTCAACAAGCTGAAATGAGAAGGTGAGATAAAATAAAGTCAATAATTAAACTAAAACTAACACTAGACCTAGAATTAGAAACTTTCAGGATAAGCCGTGTGTTTTTTGAAAAAATGTTTAACGTTTCGGATGCCATGTTGCAACCTTCTTTAGAAACAAGTTCGATGTGACGAAATTGTGAGTTGCCAGCCGTCTTCATATTCATGTTATTCCCATGCCGATGAATCTCTGTCACCATTCGTTGGAAATAATGTCCGGTTTTAGCTAATACTTTGATTTTGTCGAACTCTATGGTGTGTCCTTCCTTGTGGCAATGCTCTGCAACTGCAGATTGTTGGATTTTATTTAATCGAACATCCCTCTCGTGTTCCTTGATGCGGCATTCGATGTTACGTCCAGTTTGACCAACGTAATACTTCCCGCAACTGTACGATAGCCGATAGACTCCCGCTCCCCTTCATAGGGTTAGTTTGTCTTTAGTTATCGGAAGAGCGTTCTGTATTTTACTGACCGTACCGTATTGACCTCTCTTAAGCTGGCAGGACTATAATGGCAGAACCGATTGAGACCTATTGGATTATTTAGTACTTATTTTGGACTAATTTGTACCACCAATAAACAATTTGTACTTTTTGCCATTAAAGAGAAACTCGTGGCGCTGCTAGTTTAATATTAAGCAAGCAGGACTACTTAAAAAAAAAAAAGTAAAAAAATAAAACAAAGGTGGATTTGAGTAGAGCTGAATTTGTACTAATTTGTACCACCGATAAAAAGTGTATACTATGTACCGTTAAAGAAAAACGATATTAATTATTAATATTAATTATTATAATTATTAATATTAAGCTAGCAGGACCACTTTTAAAAAAAAACTTAAAAAAATAAAACAAAGGTGGATTTAAGAAGATCTGAATTTGTACTAATTTGTACCACTGATAAAAAATGTGTACTATATGCAGTTAATAAAATGCGGGGGCGGTAGTTTAATGCTAAGACCTACAAGCTTCAAGTGCAACAGTGGACAGTGAGTTTAATAAATTAAAAACATTATTACTAAAAAATTGTTCATTACTACGCATTGATGCTTTTATACAGAAACACGTACAATATTCACGTGGTGCACTGCAAAATGGTCGACGCGGAAAGCAATACTAACGATACATATACATATATCGCCTGCAGATTCGGAAGATTCCAACGTCAGTTTAACATCAGATCTGAATAATTCATGTCCTGCATGCAAAAATAATAATAAACCGTCCGGTACACACCTTTGTCAAATCTGTAAGAAATCTGTCCATGCATTACCTTAATGCTTCACACCGTATGACAATTTTGAATATGGCTATGATCAATGTCGTATATGCATAATGTGCAAAATGCGAAAGTCATAATCGGAAGCCGCCAACAAGAAAATTGGCGTGGGCAGATAAAACAAAATAAAAGTAAGAATTTATACCTTGGAAAAAATCCACATAAGATAATAGACGCTCTTACAGCAAAAAAGGCTGCAAAATTACCAATTTTAAAAAATGGTAATAATATTTCTTTAAATGCAGTGAAAATTGAAAGCGGCAGTTACACCGTTAGTAACGCAGTCATTATTATTTCTTGTTGATTGTTATTATAAATGACATGTAAAGGTTTTGTCATTGTATTAATATACACGGTGTACAGGGTGTCCCAATTTCGATGTGTTTGCAGGGTATCTCAGTTATTATGAAAGATAGAAAGTTGCGGCTTTCGCGAACCTGAGCTACTTTTTTGTGAAACTTACAATGCCACAAACCAAATTTTCATAGCCCTCTTCGTTTTTGATATACAGTAAGTGTTTGAAATTTACGATTTTCAGACACCTCCTGTATCTCGGCTATCCGGAAACGTAGTAAGAAAGTAAAAACGGGTTCTAATAGATTTTTTCACGTGGAATCCAATGGTGCACATAGAATTTTTCTAGTGATCACGGTTTTTGAGTTATAAATACAACTCAAATACTGAATACTCAAAAACCGTTATGACTAGAAAAATTCTACGTGCACCATTGGATTCTACGTGAAAAAATCTATTAGAACCCGTTTTTACGTTTACGGATAGCCGAGATACAGGAGGTGTCTGAAAATCGTAAATTTTGAAACACTCCACGTATATCAAAAACGAAGAGGGCTATGAAAATTTGGTTTGTGCCATTATAAGTTTCATAAAAAAGTAGCTCAGGTTCGCGAAAGCCGCAACTTTCTATCTTTCATAATAACTGAGATACCCTGCAAACCCATCGAAATTTGGACACTCTGTACAGGGTGGGCAAATTTGGGTATTATTATAGGCTATCTCAGAAACTATAAGAGATACGAAAAAAGTAGGTGCCATGTCCCGATCTCTTTTTTCAAGATTAATCCAATCCCGCAAACACCAAACCTCTATCTTCTTTTGTTTTTAAGTTATAGCCAAAATGTCAAATTTTCGTGATTTCAAAAAATGCTCATATTACGTTTATTTTTGAAATTAGAGAAATGGGGTTGATACGTTCTTAAGGCACTTTGTTAAGCAGAATATACTGCCGTTGAAAAATTTTAAAAATATTTACTGATTTTTGAGATACAACACAAAGTTGTATTTTTCTAAATACAAACTATACTTGATTATGATGTTAATGAAAAGAGCATATTTTTAGTTTTCCAATGATGTACCGCATGTATGGTGTATTTGCGGAAAATAAGCGTTATTTTTTAATTCTAAAATATTAAAGATTAATATTCAAAATTTTAATTATAGTAGGCGAGGAAAGCGTTATATGCCACTTAGTTACAATAGTAACGTGAGTGGTCCTGCTAGCTTAATATTAAACTAGCAGCGCCACGTGTTTTTCTTTAACGGTACATAGTATACACTTTTTATCGGTGGTACAAATTAGTACAAATTCAGCTCTTCTCAAATCCACCTTTGTTTTATTTTTTACGTCTTTTTTTGAAGTGGTCCTGCTAGCTTAATATTAAGCTAGCAGCGCCACGAATTTCTTTTTAATGGCAAAAAGTACAAATTTTTTATTGGTGGTACAAATTAGTACAATATAAGTACTAAATAATCCAATAGGTCTCAATCGGTTCTGCCATTATGGTCCTGCCAGCTTATGAGAGGTACCGTATTGTACCATGATAATCATGATATCATTCTTTTTCAGGCATCTCGCAATTAATAATAAATGCCTTTATTAGAATATAAGCTTAATTGTACAAAAAAAAAAAAATTCGCTCCGTCACACCTGAAACATAAAGAAGGCAGATAAATCCGGCTGGTGTGGTACCCTTATCGTATAGCTGTTCTTCTGCAGTATATCTTCTAGGAATCTCCCATCTTTTTTTAAGTATTCTTTGTCACATATCCTCCCTGCTCGCTGGAATAAGGCTTTAATCAAGGACCTCTTCCGTTGTGGGTGGTGATGACATGAAGCTTTCAGGTTCCTATTGGTATGTGTCTTCTTTCGACATATTCCAAGTTCCATGCCCCTATCTGTCTTCCTAGTCAATAGAACATCCAGGAAAGGCAACTGTTTTGCTTCCGTTTCCATGGTAAATTTAATCATGCAGTGTTATGAATTTAGGTGGTCTAAGAATTCCTTTAGTCGCTCTTTTCCATGGTGGTTTCATGATACAAAGCACTTTATTCATGCGCACTTATTAGCACTTATTAGCACTTATTCGTTTACTTTATATTCATGATACAAAGCATGAGCGTAACAGCTTCTTATCGTAGACATCTTTGCTACAGGTGCATAAACATTATCGACTTTACACCATCCTGTTTTATTTTAAATGCACATCTTGTTTCATTTAATTTTTTGTCATAAGGTTTTCTTATTATTGAGTATGTATTAGACTGTTTCAATGAATTTAATTCGTTTTCAGTATGCTGTGTGTGTTTCATAATCATCTAAGTATTTTGGCTTCTTCAATATTCTTCCTGATCTTGTTTCTTGCGTTTCTTCTCCTTCTATTTGATCTTTCTTTTAATCATCTTTCTCTTCTTCATTTATCTCTAGTTCAATTTCTTAATTACTTTACACTATACAATAACCAGGCTTTACAACATGTGCTCTGGGCCCATAACCTAATGGGTTTTTAATAAAAACAATAGCAGTTAAACAGTTTCCAACAGTAGCTTACTTATGACTCAGCGTCACACTCCCTTAGTGTTGCCAACTTAAAAACTATTACATTCAACATGTTGTACCTATTAAAACTGACAGAATCTTGGCGAGGTATTTTGCTAGCTGATAGGTAGGAGAATTTATGGAACTGACAATAGTGCGTAGCGGTACATCTGGTTTATGGTCCTCTCTTAGGTAACCCATATATTTTTGGAGATACTCGCGCCTGCACGTAAAAACTTCTCTGTTATTCTGTCGGGGTTCTTGTAGATTTTACCAGTTCTTTCATTTTTCTTACTATCACCTCGATTGCGTTTTTTTTAATTTCTTGTAGGTGGCTGAATCCAAAAGGCTCGTCATCTTGTCGTCGTATTCGTTTCTATCCATGATCACGGTCACATTCCCCTTGTCTGTTGGTAAGATGATAATGTCTGTTTTTCCCTTATCGTTTGCAGTGTTTGATTTTCATTGATTAGTTGATATTAGTATAGACACATTAAACCTTTGCGGCTGTATATTGTTAATGTTTGCCTAGAAGAGGGTGTTTTTCCTTCGCAATGGAAGATAGCAATCGTTATTCCGTTGCCTAAAGTACGCAAACCCACTACCTATCGCGACCTTAGACTAATAAGCATATTACCGGTGTTATCAATGGTGTTGAAGAGGGTTATGTACAAACAATTGTTTGAGTTTTTGGAGCGAATAGATTTCTTACCATGTTGTCAGTCGGGTTTTAGGGAAGGACATAGCTGCTGCACAGCTTTGATAAAAGTGACTGGTGACATACTGACTGCTACAGATAAGGGAAAAACTACAATACTCATGCTACTTAATTTCATGTTGATATCTTCAGTAAAGCGTTTGATGCGGTTAGTCATGATACTTTGCTTAATATTCTGTCCAGGATGGAGTTTAGTGCGGTGGCATTGAGTCTTTTTAGGCGGTACCTTTATGACAGGTTTCAGATGGTTAAGTGAAGCAAAATCTTTCCGAACGTCGTCCTGTTTTTGCAGAAGTAGCACAGGGGTCGATTCTCGGCCCCCTGTTGTTTTCTATATACATTTCGAAGTTATTGAAGGACTTAAAGTACTGCTCGGGAAATATGCACGCCGATGATACGCAGCTGTATGTGTCTTTACAGCTCTCCAGAACCTAAATAGTAACTTAGATCATTTATATCAATTAACACTAAAGTATAATCCCTACTTGAATCCTTCTAAGTCTCAAGCAATTTTATTCGGTAGTTCTTTGGTGATCAAATCACTTACCCCACAGTTTACAATTAGTATTAATAATGTTACTATCGCGAAAAGTGAAAGTGTAAAAAACTTGGGTGTTATCATGGATAACTCATTTAGATACAAAGAGCAGATTTCGTTACTTATGCTTACAGCATATGCCAATCTCCGTGCATTATACCCCCATCTTCGCTGTTTGCCCTTAACACTAAAGAAACAGCTGCGTGATTCACTGGTTCTATCCCATTTTGCCTACTGCACTCCGCTTTACTATACCTCAATTGATAGTGTTGATACTGTACGCATTCAAAGAGTGCAGAATGCTTGTTTGAGGTTTTTATAGGGTATTCGAAAGTATGCTCGTATAAACGTCGCGTCGTGACATTGGTTGGTTAAATATGTTCAATAGACGTAAATTGCTAACGCTCTGTCTCTATCATAAGATTTTGACCAGAAGCCTAGTAAGCCTTCCTTACTGACAAACAAAATAAGATATCGTTGGCATGTGCATAATCTGAATACGAGATTCAAGGGTAGAGTTTCTCCGCCTTGTATAAGTTGTCATTATTTAGAAGATCATTCACGTACCAGATTTGTGTACTTTACAACGATTTGCCTGATGATCTAAAGAGGTTATCTTTCAGAGCCTTTAAGTCTACCCTTGGCAACTTGCTAATGAGAGATCAATAGTTTTTTTTTAATTGTATATGGTGTGCCGTGACAGAATTTTCGTTAGTGAGTTGGGTGTGAGCAAGGGCACATTTTTATGTGCCATCTGGACCCCACCTTATACATACAACTGTAATTAATGGTAATGCGTTGTGGTTTACGGATGGAGAAGTATGTGTTGTTATGGTCGATCCAAGATTTCATCCGTTCTTCCTGGTGGTTCCCTTTGTAAAGGGGCAGACGTTTCGCCAAGATCTCACTTGGCATCTTCAGTGCGTTTTCGTAGTCTCCTGTCGGCATACTGTCCGTAGTCCACAACAACACAATTGTAATTAAGTTTATTTAATTCAGTAAAATCGAAAATCGAATCGAATGTATGAATACCGATCGTGTTACACGTGTGTTTTTACATCCGCGTTCGTCGATTGCGTTTTATCGGGTTTGTTGGCGGAATTTTTTCGTTTTTCTTTCACTAAGAAATAATATAACTTTCTGGAAGTGCTTTAAAGTGGTCATTTTGTTGATTACATTAACAGTTATTAGTGAATTATAATTTTTCCTAATTTCCATTGTTGAGTGGTCTTTGGAAAAAAGTGGTCATGTTTTCGTGCGGGCGGTGTAGTCGTGTGGTGGGGAGAATAACTGGCGTGCAGTGCGAGGTTTCACACCAAGTGCGCTGAATCTGGCGATACGCCACAGGACTCGTTCTCTAAGACGGCTGAGGCTTGGATATGTCTGGATTGCAGGTTAAGAGAGCGAGGTGTTAATTCCCGCAAATCAATCGTGTCTATTCAGTCGGCGTCATCAGGTTCTGTTATCACTCTAAAATCTGTTTACGAGATGGTCTGTGATATGCAGTCGGAGATGCGATCGAAGAACGGGGAACTTCTTGATTCGGTTGAGTTCTGCAGTGGGCGTATATCTGATTTTGAGCGTATTTTAAATGAATTAAATGAAAAAATCAAGATTATCGATAAGCTAACGGCGGAGAATGCCTCCCTTCGTGAGCGGGTGGCTGGTCTTACGTCTCGCATGGATGATTTGGAGCAGAATTCACGTCGAAGCAATTTGGAAATTCAAGGGGTTTGTCAAAGAAATAACGAAAACTTGTTGAATGTACTGGATACTGTCGCTGCTCACGTGGGGTCTGATGTCTCGCATGTAGATGTGGATGCGATTCACCGTGTCCCCCATTTCGATCGCTCGAATTCTGCTCCCAGGTCTATTGTCGTTCATTTCTGCAGTCGTCTTAAGCGCGTCAAAAATCGACTTGACTACCGCACCTTTTCAATGCTGAGACATCATTCTAAATGTCTTATAGCGTGTAATCACAAAGATTATATGGTTCATGTTCAGGACTCTGTTGCTGCTGACGCTAAACAATTTTGGTCATATCTAAGACAAAGAAAGGGCGGTGTTGGCATGCCGACGATTGTCCGGCATAACGGTGTGTCTTCGGTGAATGGAGAGGAAGTTTGTGAACTCTTTTCCGACTACTTCTGGATTTGTTTGCCCCGCCGGTAATTACTGCATACCCCGAGTGGGGGGACCACAGCCTTAATGCGATCTCGGTTGGCTGTTTCGATTTATCCGAGGTTGAAGAGACTTTTTTTGGTGTGGCTGTTTCCAAGGGTCCGGGCTCGGATGATATACCTTCCATTTTTATTAAGAGATGCTCTAAATCCCTTACTAGACCTCTATGCTTAATTTTTGATATGTCGCTACGTTACAGTGCTTTTTCCATCTGTGTGGAAACTGGCGAAAATTACGCCTATTTTTAAGTCAGGAGATCGTAGTCTTCTAACTAATTACCGTCCTATATCTATTTGACCAATAATAGGAAAAATCTTTGAAAAATTGGTTTACAGCAGGCTATTTTTTCAGATGAAGCCCTGTGTGGGTGCGGAGCAACACGGTTTTTATCCGGGGCGATCTGTGGACACCAACTTGTTAGAATATACTGACTTTCTTTCTTCGACTATTGATAAAAACATCCAAGTAGATGCGATATACACTGACTTTAGCAAAGCTTTTGACAAAGTGGATCACTGTTTATTACTGTTGAAGTTGGAGCGCGTTGGTGTCGCCGGTGTCCTTTTGAGCTGGTTTGCTTCGTACCTCTCCAATCGCACGCAGGTGGTCGGGGTTGGTAGATATTCGGTAGAATATATTGGTAGACTTCCGGAGTGCCTGAGGGTAGTCATTTGGGCCCGCGCTTATTTACGGTGTACATAGGTGACATCACCAGGTCTTTTCTTACCTCAAGATGTCTTATGTATGCTGACGACATTACAATATTTTCTCCTGTTGCTGCTGTTTCAGACTGTGTTAACTTTCAGAATGACCTGAACAAATTTTATGATTTTTGTGAGATTAATACATAATTTGTCAGTTAACATATCGAAGTGTTGGACTGTTACTTTTACGAGAAAAAAGCAGTTCTTTAAATTTGATTACCGGTGCGGAACATGCTTACTGGATCGTGTTGACACTATTAAAGACCTGGGCATTACTTTAGATAGCAAACTACTGTTTGATCAACACGTTGACGCAGTGGTGGCCAGAGCTAATAGGATGCTGGGATCTGTAATGCGCTCTTCTCAATCGTTTTGCTGCCCTAGACCTATTATTTCTTTATACAATGCTTTCGTTAATAGTATTTTATCGTTCAGCAGTACGGGTTGGAACCCTCAGTACGACGCATACATTAACAGAATAGAGAGGATTCAGATAAGGTTTCTGAAGTATCTCTCGTATAAATTCCATCATCCTTATACAGATTACCAATCTGCCTGTCAAATGTATCATATGCCCACACATCAGCAGCGCAGAACTTGCAGTGATGCCTGCTCACCCTACCAGTTGTGTGATTTTTTGTACATTATCTCGTTGCAGCGGCTTGAGTTCTGCCTTGAATTGATTTGATCACATATGCTTAAGGCCATTAATTAATTAATTGATCGATTTTCAATTTTGTGTTCATACAATTTATTGTATATAAAATGTATTACAGTGGAGTAGCTTTTATGTGGGACTGTGTCCTGTTGCTACCCCCGTGCGTGTAAATAAATGAATAAAAGGCATTATTATTATTATTATACTACTTATATAATATATTCTCGCTATGTTTTGTGTAATTTCTGCTTTCACTGCAGCTATTCTGCGAATAGGCGCTTCCACTTAACAGATAATTTCTTCTTTCGGAACCTTTTTTTAGAGCGACTGCACAAATTAAGTCTTTGGCGAGTACTGCAGTTTCCTCCTCTGTTAATAAGACGCTTCATGGGTTTATGATGACCGTTTCGATTGGCAAATCTTTGTTCTTCTTCTTGTGGTTGCGACGATTTAATGATTAATTAAATTAAAATCAAATTAAAAAGCAAATTAAGAATTCATTAAAATTAATTCTTAATTTGCTTGTCCCGACTTCTTTGGAATTCTCATGCATGCCTTCTCCATAGTTATTCTGTTGATTTTGTCCCAGTCATCTCTTGCTACAGAATTGGAAAGTGAGAGGTGGAGTCGTAGTAACCTCTCACTTATTTTCTGTAAGCCTTTAAATGTTTTGTGAATTCTTTCTCGTATCAGCTCGATATGGTGCTTCACTTTGAGGAAGCTTGGCATTACCTTTTTCTCTGAAATGAAAGTTTCTAGTTCTAGGTCTAGTGTTGATTCTAGTGATACTGCTAGCGAAGGTGAAAGGCTTCGTAGTTACATAATCATTAATTTAATTTTTTTTATTTTAAAGAAATCAACGCGAAGAAGATTTAAGAGAAAACCACCCATTTTTCGATACCCCCCTTTTTGCAGTTCCCCGAGAAAGCAAATTTAGAAAAATCTGCCAATTAATTGTTTACGCAAGATACGATGCACGATTAAAAGATCCATTAACCGGAAAAGAACGAAAAGTTCAATATAAAAGTTTGCAGTAAGTTTTTATAAATAAAATTCTTAAATTAATTTCCTTTTTTTTAGTAATTTTTTAGGATTAGTAACCTATTTAGATTGGGTAATGATAACGATGACGACCTTATCATGTCTTAGCATGATGTTTGAAACTCCGTATTATCGAGTAATGGAACACGTCTCATTGCAAATCGCCGAATATGGTTTCGTAATTTTTATGAGTATCGAATTAGCGTTAAAAATACTCGCGGATGGTTTATTTTTTACCCCAAAAGCTTACATAAAAGACGTCGCCGCAATTTTAGACGTTTTTATCTACCTCGTTAGCTTAGTGTTTTTGTGCTGGATGCCGAAAAGTGTTCCACCAAACTCCGGAGCCCAACTATTAATGATTTTAAGATGCGTACGACCTTTAAGAATCTTTACTTTAGTCCCACATATGAGAAAAGTCGTTTACGAGTTATGCAGAGGGTTCAAAGAGATTTTATTAGTATCAACTTTACTGATATTATTAATGTTCGTGTTTGCAAGTTACGGAGTGCAATTGTACGGAGGACGATTGGCGAGATGTAATGATCCAACGATAAAAGAACGAGAAAATTGCGTCGGCGTCTTTATGAGACGCGTTTATGTAACTAAAATGAAATTACAACCCGGTGATAATGAAAGTTATCCTTCGATGTTAGTCCCGAGAGTTTGGTATGTTAAAAAACAATTCATAAATTTTTTATTAACAATTCATTTTTATAAGGGCGAACCCAAGAAGATTTAATTTCGATAACATCGGAGACGCAATGTTGGCCTTATTCGAAGTTTTATCGTTCAAAGGATGGTTGGATGTTCGAGATGTCTTAATAAAAGCTTTAGGACCAGTAACGATTTGATTAATTAAAAAAAAACAGTTAATTTAATCTATTTTTATTAGGTACACGCAATTTACATTCACGTTTACATCTTCTTGGGTTGTATGATTGGTTTAACACTCTTCGTTGGTGTTGTAATTGCAAATTATTCAGAAAATAAAGGAACGGCTTTATTAACGGTGGATCAACGAAGATGGTTAGTAAACAAAATTTTCTTTCTTAATAATAACCTCTAAAATAATTTAGGTGCGACTTGAAAAAGCGATTAAAAATCGCTCAACCTCTTCACTTACCCCCTCGGCCGGATGGAAAAAAATTCCGAGCTTTTATCTATGACATAACACAAAACATTAAGTTTAAAAGATGTGTTGCAATCATGGTTTTATTAAATAGCAGCTTATTAAGTGTTACGGTAAATTAAATTATTATACAGGATGTCTCCTCGTTGAGTTGCATAACTTCGTATAGTTATTCCATGAATCACAATTAGCAAAAAACTTCCGGTCAATATAGGTGCAATTCTCAACCGTTTTCGATATATGGGTGGCCAAAAGCTCTGAAAGTCACTAGTTACGGTAACTAATTTAATTTTACTTTTTTTAGCTGGAATGCGCATGAAGTTGACTTTTTGACAGTTGTCAACAGTGATGGGCGCTGCGTAAATAACTGATGGGTAGGTATTTAGAAAATGGGTATTTACCCCGGCCCAGGGTAAATACCCAAATGGTATGTATAAAAGTGATACAAGTAAAAATATATCAGATTCCGAAAAAATGAAGAGGAAGATGATGAAATGAACGTTGAAGACGAGGAATTGTCAACGATCGAAGACGTATTATCATCAGTCGAAGCTGTCGTAATTTAGATTAGATTAAGTTATTATGATTATTATCATCAAGCCATTGTTTGACATAGGCTTCCCCTATTCTGTTCCATTCGATTCTATTCTGCGCTGTCTGAATCCAATTGTTGAGCTTTGCCACAATGTTGACCACATCATTTGCACCAGTTCTTCTTCATAGGTCTTCATTTCGGTCTTTGCGTTACTTTGAGCCTCCTGGCAGTGGCTACCGTTAATGTTAATGTTTCGGAGCCTTATGTCATAAGCGGAAACATGCATTGATTGAAAGCCTTTCTTTTCAAATATATCGCTCTTGAAGATGTCTCTAAGTTTCCTGTAGGCTGTTCAGTTCGCTTGCTTGATTATCTCTCGATACACAAACCTCATAGCCAAGATACACAGCTGTCAACCCTCTCAATCTCATTATCCCCAATGTTGATGGTAGACTTGGGAACAAGATTTGTCATAAATTTTGATTTCTTTACGTTAATATTTAGCCCGACTCTTGGACACACCTCCTTTAAGTCGTTCACCATTAGTTTCATCTCTCCAAGCCTATCCAAAATAAGAACTATCGTCCACGTAGCGTAAATTACTTAGGTATTTGCCATCAATGTTGATGCTTTTTTGGACTAAATCCAGTTGTTTAAATACATTCTCCAGGACTGTGATGAACAATTTGGGTTCAACATTATATCGCTTTATTTTACTCACAATCAGTACTTTACTATTTCTACTCTCTTCAGTACTTTTATGCAATTTTACCGTCTTTGTAGCATTCTTGTAGATGTTATAAACAAGTTTGGTGTATCGATAATCGACTCTGCATTCTTGAAGTGCTTGCAAAACTGCCAACAACTCAATTTAAATTAAATTTTATAAATACCTCTAAATACCCATCTTGGGTAAATACCGTCATAAATTTTGATTTCT